AATTTTAAAATTACAATTCCCTTCTAACTATTAACTAGTAAACATAACTATTGTAAATAGTTACACGTTACTCTAATTTTACAAAATAAAAATAAAAATAAAATCTATAATAATATTTAAATAATATCAAATATTTCTTAATCTTGACATTTCTATGTTGTACAACAAATGCTAGCCTTAAAAATAATAATAAAAAAAGAGAATCAATGCCATTTCTACCAATAAATCAGCAAAAATAGTCTCTCAAATACAAGGGTTAATACTCTTACTTATTCTTATATAATATGCCAAAATTTTAATTCATCCCTAAATTTAAAAATGCCTTCAATCTGTTTCTATTATTTGAGTCGGTTTCTAATACATCTTTATGATCAAAATTTTTAGTTAATTCATCATAAATTAATTTTCATCTTAATAGATATAGATCACTTGTGTCAAAAAACAAAAATTGTTTCGTCAAATCACACAGAATGAGCAAATTACATACTTAAGTTAGTAGAAAATTTTAACTAAAAATAGAATAAAAATCAATTCACATAATAAAAGGAGATTGAAGGTGTTTCTAAATTTAAAAATAGATTGTAAATTTGATTGAATGTAAAAGAATATTCAAGGATATTAACTCTAAATACAAGTACAGCTGAGGAAAAAAAAAAAACAAAAGGAATGAAAGTGGGGCAAGAGAATTAATAAAAAAACATAGTAGTCACAATCATATAAAATACCCTTTAGCAAGCAAAAAGGGCAGTGGCGTATCCTATCGTCAGCAGCATTAAGGAAGCTGGAGCCTAAAGCGCAGGTACCCTTTTTTTTTTTTTTTCCTCAAAATTAACAAAAGTGAAAACGAACAACATTTATTTTTTTACCTTAAATTTAACGGTCTCCTGAATTAAAGGCTAAGTTGGCTTTTTGGTGGCTAGAGAGAGAGAAAGAGAGAGTGTGCGGCTGGTATGGTTGTGTTGCCCCTGAAGCAAAGCTTCTTCTCCCTCTCAGCCTCTCTCGTGTGTATATGTTTTGGTAATGTAGAAATGTATTTCTAATGTACAAAAAAAATTTATGCAAATTTTTTCAAATTTGATATTTATGGTGGGGAGAAAATAATTTATTAATTTGAGTATAGATAACCTCTCTTTCACTATTTTTTTCTTAAAAAAGATAAATACTTAAATTTGTTTATGTATAATATTTTGAATCTCCTAACTATACATGAGTTTCTAATTACGTCTCATTTGTCCTTAAATTTTTTTGAAATGTTCAAATCTTTTCGATTAATTTTTTTTATTATGAGAATTTTTTTTTGAACCGAAATGCTTATGAATGAAATATAAAATAAAATAAATTAGAATTTTAAAAACTTTAAAAAATGAAAAATGCAGGGTAACAGATATTTTAGTATAAAAAAGTTGTTCATGATGAGAAAAATTAATAAAGAAACAAATTGGATATTTCAAAATTTTTTAAAAACAAATAAGATGTAATTAAAAATCTAAAGATGAATAAAATATTCAAAATATTATATAACAACAGATTGAACTATTTATCCTTTTAAGAACGGTATTCAGACAATTTTTTTTACCAAATAAACTTTAATTAGAACACTTAAAATTTTAATCAAAAAAGTGTGAACAATTTTTTTTTTTTTTTTTGAGACAGGAAATATTAATTTTTGAAAGAGTTTCTAATTAGTAAAATTGAATTCATCTCTTCATGTATGAATGGGCAATTTTGTCTCCACGTCTTTCTTGCATCCTCAATGTCCCCATTAACAAAGTGGGTCACTAATGTTGGTTTCCACTGCACTCCTACATTTTCACGTTATATCGGTGATTGTGTCTTGACAACTTTGATTTTCCTCACACATATATAAAGATGGTGTACTACATTGCATTCTTGTGAAGTGTGAACATTCTCTCCCACTTTCTGTTTCTTCTTTTTCCCTTTTCATTAATTAATAATCCGCCTCACTCCTTGTTTTCTGCTTCTATATATTCCACCAACTATTCCTTGTTACAAGAACTAGCGGTAGTGGCTTATTCTTGTTGTGTTGATGGCTTCTCTAAGTTGGTGTTGCAATTTTTGTCTGTTTCTTGCTGTTTTTGTAGCAGAAGTTGGTTTTTGCTCTTCTTCTAAGGTTTGTGTTGATTCTTGATGCGATACTCCTATATGTTTTTTCTTGCTTGTTTCTAAGTGGGTTTTATTTGATGTTTTGTTTTGTTTCTTGAATTTGTAGGTTTATGTGGTTTACATGGGAAGCAAAACTGGGGATGACCCAGATGAAGTTTTGAGCGAAAATCATCACATGCTTGCTTCTGTACATGGAGGAAGGTCAAAACTTTGATCCATTTTTTATGCTTTCATGTCATTTGTTGCTTTGCCTTTTGTTTTTTTTTGGTTTAATGTGGTGTGCTGTTGACAGTATTGAGCAAGCACAGGCCTCTCACCTTTATAGTTATACGCATGGCTTTAGAGGCTTTGCTGCCAAGTTGACTGATCAGCAAGCTTCTCAGATTGCTAGTAAGTCCATAACTTTACAAGAAATTTATTGCTTTGCTTTGGAATCAAAATGAGATTTATAGTAACTTTTTTGGTTTTTCTGGACAGAGATGCCTGGAGTGGTCTCTGTTTTCCCCAATTTGAAAAGGAAGTTACACACTACTCACTCATGGGATTTCATGGGCTTAGTGGGTGAAGCGACAATGGAGATACCGGGGTATTCAACCAGGAACCAAGTCAATGTTATAATTGGTTTTATTGATACTGGTGAGGGCACTTTTGCTTCCTTTAAAACTAGTTTTCCTGTGTACTAATTCTTGATTGAATGCCCCATGTGCTTTGATTAAATGCTGCTGCATATGCAGCCAATTTTTTCTTGATATATTTTCCTTTTTCTGAACGATGTCCTTGATATTGGAGATTCCTTCTGAAATTCCATCTTTGCTTGCTTATTAATTAAGAAATTCTTGATTTCCTCCATTTCAGTGTTGTGTTTGATTCTAGATTTAGAAAACTTATATAATTCACTACCTTGTCTGTTACTGTTCATAATTTAGTCGTTTGTGTGACATAAAGTTGGCTGGCATATAAATTTGTTATTGTGATTATGGTCAGGAATTTGGCCTGAATCTCCAAGTTTTGATGATGCCGATATGCCTTCAGTGCCACGCAGATGGAGGGGAAGTGCCAGCTAGGAGAAGCATTCAATGCTTCATCTTGCAACAGGTTCATTAATGCTAAATAATTTATTCAATGTTTGATTCCGTGGACATTAATTTATTAGTGGGGGATCTAAATTTATCAATAGGAAAGTGATTGGAGCAAGATACTATATGAGTGGCTATGAAGCTGAAGAAGATTCCACCAGGATAATGTCATTTAGATCTCCAAGGGACAGCTCTGGTCATGGTAGTCACACAGCCTCAACAGCTGCTGGTCGTTATGTTACAAATATGAATTATAAGGGGTTGGCAGCTGGAGGGGCTAGAGGAGGTGCACCACTGGCCAGAATTGCAGTATACAAGACTTGTTGGGACTCAGGTTGCTATGATGTTGACTTGCTGGCTGCCTTTGATGATGCAATCAGAGATGGGGTTCATATCTTGTCTGTGTCCTTGGGTCCTGATGCTCCCCAGGGAGATTATTTTAATGATGCCATCTCCATTGGGTCATTCCATGCTGCTAGCCATGGAGTGTTAGTAGTTGCTTCAGCTGGAAATACAGGGAATCGTGGTTCAGCAACCAACCTTGCCCCATGGATGATCACGGTTGGTGCTAGTTCGATGGATAGGGATTTTGCATCTGATATTGTTTTAGGAAATGCCACAAAATTCACGGTATTACAATTTTTTACTTCCATTGAAAAATGTTTTCAGTAATTGGCAGACCCTTATTAGTTCTCAATCCTGAAAAACAGGGGGAAAGTCTGAGTCTCTTTGAAATGAAGGCCTCTGCAAGGATCATCTCTGCCTCTCAAGCCTATGCAGGATACTTCACACCTTATCAATCCAGGTGAAGCAACAGGTACTTGAAAGTGAGTGAAATTAATATTCCGATGCAAGGGAGAAGTCTAACTTACCTTTCCTTTTCCTGCTTGTTCCTGTAGTTACTGTTTGGAGAGTTCCTTAAATAGTACCAAAGCCAGAGGGAAAGTTCTCGTCTGTCGACATGCTGAGAGTTCAAGTGATTCTAAGCTGGAAAAGAGCAAGGTAGTGAAACAAGCTGGAGGAATTGGAATGGTTCTTATTGATGAGGCAGATAAAGATGTTGCCATCCCTTTTGTCATCCCTTCAGCTATTGTGGGAAGGGAGATGGGAAGCAAGATTCTATCCTATATAAATAGCACACGGTTTGTTTTTTCCTTCTCAGTATGGGGACTGCTGGGTGTTTAGCATTCAAGTTTCTACAGTTTTCTGATTCACGGTGCTCTGATTGTGAACAGCAAACCAATGTCAAAAATTTCACGTGCAAAGACAGTTTTGGGTTCTCAACCAGCACCCCGTATTGCTTCATTTTCTTCCAAAGGGCCCAATTCCCTGACCCCTGAAATTCTGAAGGTAACTTTTCAACTTGAGATCAAGTTATTTTTTGAAAGACCTACTGGCCTTTGAATTTGCTCAACTTAATTCACACTTGGTTTGTTATATATCTAAGTTTCTACCTCTTTCCTTGCGACACTACTGCTTTGTAGCCTGATGTTGCAGCTCCTGGACTGAACATCCTCGCAGCTTGGTCTCCAGCAGCTGGGAAAATGCAATTCAATATTCTTTCTGGAACTTCTATGTCATGCCCTCATATAACAGGAATTGCAACCTTGATAAAAGCAGTTCACCCTGCTTGGTCTCCATCTGCCATCAAGTCTGCAATCATGACGACTGGTAAGTTTTTATCATGTCAACTTTCTGATAATCGACTGGTAGTTTCTCTACAAGTTTCCTCCATGGGATGAAGTGGCTAAAATATGTCATCTTTTGTTGAGAATCATCTAACCAAGAATCTGATTTCAAATGGAAAATGCAGCTACCATCCTGGATAAGACTGACAAACCCATCACAGTGGATCCTGAAGGAAGAAGGGCCAATGCATTTGATTATGGATCAGGTTTTGTTGATCCTACAAGGGTCCTTGATCCTGGCCTCATCTATGATGCACAACCGATAGATTATAGAGCTTTTCTCTGTTCAATTGGTTATGATGAGAAGTCACTACGTCTGGTCACAAGAGATAATAGCACATGTAGTCAGACATTCAAAACTGCTTCCAGCCTGAATTATCCTTCTATCACTGTTCCAAATCTTAAAGACAACTTCTCAGTGACTCGAACCGTGACAAATGTCGGGAAACCAAGAAGTGTTTATAAAGCTGTTGTGTCTAATCTGGTGGGAATCAATGTTACTGTTGTGCCAAAGGAACTAATCTTTAACAGCTCCGGCCAGAAAATCAAATTCACAGTGAATTTCAAGGTGGTTGCTCCAGCAAAGGGCTATGCATTTGGTTTTTTGACGTGGAAGAGTGAGGATGCACGGGTCACCAGCCCCCTAGTTGTCCGGGCTGCACCCTCCTCCTTGGGGTTAATGAGATAACCTGGCTTAGCTTGTATATAATAGTTTAGAAACTTTGAGATCCTGATAACCCTACACAAACACAGATGCAGAAATATACTTGAGTTCATAAATCCACAGTAGCTTACTATTACATACTTGGATCATGCAGGCAATAGAATGATTATAAGGCTATTAAACAGGCCACATGTGCAAGTGCAATGACTCTTTTTATTTATTTATTTACCTTTTATTCTTCCTTCTTCTGTCCCTCTGGTATGTTCTTTTATTTGGTCAATCATTGTAAACTTTAGCATAGTATTGAACCTTGATGGGATTAGCATGTGATAATTATCTGGTACTTCTTGGTGAATGATACCTGTAATAATTATGAAAATTTGAACTGTTTGGCTTGGCTTCAGGGGGGCATTTGAATCTAACTTTCTTGTGTGAAAGGTTATCTGGAAAAGCAGCTGAAGTAAAAAAAGAACAACGGACGAATGAGTTAAAGGTCCTACCTTTTTTGTTTTTTTTGTTTTTTTAACTCACATGTTCAAGCCTCTTACTAGAATTAGTCTATTAGGATTTGAACCCGTAATCTCTTATTGCAAAAGATCATCATCACTGAAGTACACGCTCTTTGGTAGCAAGTCCTACCTCTTGGCATTCATTTCATGTCTTTGATTTTTCAGAAAGATCGAGTCTCTTCACTACTCTTTCGTACCATTCTTCTTTTCAATGCCAATCTGACCATCCGAGCACTGATTTTGCTGGGAATCAAATCAACCCTCACCACTTTCAGAAGGAATGTGAGCATTCCAGGGATGCTATGTCGATGAACCTCTTATATTTCCATATATTATGTTTATAAGTCGGTGAATTCAAGGCAACCCTCTTGCTCCTGTTTTTCTAATTCAATCATGGTCCTAACCCCAAGGATCATGCTGCAATAATGCTGAGGTGGCCGACAATAAACAAACCTGACTAACCTCATTAGAACTGGCAAGTAAAAACATTATGGCTTCTTAAACCAAATAATCACATATGATCATATTAGCATGTTTTTTCAACGTTGAACAGAAAATACACAAACTCAGCTTCTGTTAATTATATTACTAAACTTCCGTTAACCAAATCATCATCACCATTTCTCCCCTGCCACATCAGATGATAGCAGAATTTTGGATGGATAAATTCATATGTGCTAATATAATTAACAAGTGCTAACATAATTAACAAAAACTTTCTTTGTGCATTTTTTATTCAACATTGCAAGAACATTCTAATATAATTAAAAAGGGTAAAGTTTGTAATTATTTGGTTCAATAAGCCTAACGTTATATGGTTTTCCAAACCAGGTGAGGCTCAAGAGACAACGAACTATAAATAATCCAGAGAGACAAGTCCCACAATCTTCTCCTCTTACCCATCAAGATAATAGGAACTCCACATAACATAATTGACAAACCATGAACATGGAATCTAGAGATACTTTGCAGCCATTCAAATTGCCTTGAAACAGATCAAATCCAAGGATTGACGACTTGGTTAATCATAAAAGAATTCTGAAATCATTATCATTAGACAAGCTAAGTACACTGGTATAGGATATCATCTACTTCTTGTTTCTACTTTCAGTTCTAATTATATGAGTCTCTCAGCATCAGCCATTGACAAATCAATCACCCTTGTGGCCAGTAAAGTAAAATAACAAACTTTCACAATGAACTTTGAAACCATGCACTCACGAGAATGTACATGCGCACCTACCGATGATATCAGCTAACGGGTATAGTAAGTAGTAAGGTGACTAGAACCCATTGGGCTGCATTTCTGAAGGATCAATCAGGCCTTCTAAAACAACAAGCTGGTCTAATAATGCAAATTTCTCATCTTCAAGGGTCTTCACCTCATCCTCAACCTTGTTCAAAGCTCCCTCCACAGCAGAGCTATCTTCCTCCAACAACAAATACTTGTGTCTTAGATGCCGGTATTCATCTACCGGGGCAGAGGAGTCTGGCAATGAGTCAGAGTTCGACCTCTCTGGTTGTTGGAACAATGGAGAGCCTTCTTTCTTCGAGCTCTTTTTGAAGGCTTTCTTCCCTCCTGGTCTTAAAGACGGACGCACCTGCACCTGTTGACCTTCTCTGACATCATTTCCTTGCAACTGAATCAAGGAAGCTCTCGAGGCTGCAGCTTTCTTTTTACGGGGCTTGAGATTTGGAGTTTCTACTGATGGTGCCATCCTTGGATTTTGCATTTCTTTTATCAGCAAATTCTGTGAGATAAAAAAAAGGCAGAGCGTTGAAAGAACAAAAGTTAATTCAGAGATAAAATATCGTAGTTATGAAAACAGGCGTGTTGCATGCTGCTGAAGTAAACTTTGAAACTGCAAAGGGCTTTGGCCGCTGTGACAGCATAACATGCACATGGGGACAGATCAGACAAGCATCAACTTCATAGATTATGCAACTAAAAGAATCATCCATAAACATTTGAAGGGGGTTTCATATAATCAACCATATAGAATTCATTTAATTAAGAATTTACAATAGGGATCATTAGACGCGGAAAGCAAAAAAATGGATATTAATAGCATCGCTTCATGAATCCAAATCCTCCTTTATCTCCTTCACGAATGAGAGACACTTGCTCGATCCATGAAAACTAGCTCAATTTACCCAAATAAGAACTCGATCACTAAATGTCCTATCTTAGCTTTCTAATTTCTTTCCTTTCAGAGTTCACACTAAATATCACCACTTTCGAACTGAAAAGTTCAACAAGATTGATTTACTAAACTCCCATATTAGTACCCACACAACAACCTAAACTTTTCATTCTGACTCAACATCAGCTCTTAGTCTTGAGGAGAAAAAAAATCATTCAGATTTACAATATTTGATAGTATTTTAGTGTCAACACACATCCTGCCTAAATCTTTCTAAACGGCTAGTACTGACTACTCCCATAATCGCTGCCCTTCACAGAATTTAGCAAAACACCAAATTCACAAAACCCATAATTTAAATTATCTAATTCTACTCAATATAACATGCAATCAAAACAAACATCTGTAAAAACGAAAACAAATGCAAGCCCACAATAAAAAGGTCCCTCCTCTTAAGTCAAAATTGATCCTTTTGATGGAACTCAAACCCACAAAAGAATTTCACAAAAAGGGTTGCATCAATCAATAAAAAAATAAACAAAAGAAACAGAAAAAAGGCTGCAAATAAAGAGAAAGAGAGAAAGAAATATTACCTTTCAAGTCTGGAGAGAGAGAGATAAAGGGGGGCTTCAGTTTGTGTTTGGTGTGTTGGTTTTCTTTTCTTTTTTATTAACAAGACAGACAACGTAAAAGAAAAGAAGCTTTAAATGGGCTACTAATACTATTACAACCTCGATGATGGTCGGGTCTGCTTCTTATGGTTCATGGTGGTTTTTGATGTTGCTGTCCTCTCTGTATTTATATGATTTGTCCACATTGAAGATGGAATCGGAGAGACCGACTTCGACTCTTCTTTCTTTCCTTTCCTTCTACAGTAGTCATGGTGAAAAACCTTAAACCATCCCTTACGTACTCGGTTGGTTTACCAAAAAGGACCAAAGATGGTGGATCTAAGATGGTCTGTTCTTCTTTTTTATTTTTATTTATGAAGAAAGAGTACATGTGGGAGAAATCGTCCATGTAGAAAAGGCTTCTGTTGACAGTTAATTATCCTTCTTTTTTTCGTTGAATAATTTATAATTAATGATGTAAAAAAAAGAAAAAAGAGAGCTCATTGTGTTCTTATTTTATGTTTAATATTCCATGAATCCTTGTAAATCTAATTGTTTTAAATTTATTATGGTTATGTTTCAATCTATTTTTTATCAATACTTTTTATTCAAATTGGCAAAATACTTTTATATAAAAATACAAACTTAAAATAATAATAATAATAATAATAATAATCTTAAAAAAAAATTTCACATGATGTTTTTTTTTTTTATAATAAATTAGGTGGGATCTAACCGTTTAAAGTGAATATATTTTTATTAATTAGATGGTATCGAGCCTAGTGTTTATGGGAGTTGTATATTCATTGTTTATGTTGTTCATATTTAGATTCCGCAAAAGAATTAGGAGTATAGATAATTGAGTTGGTTTGGTCGTAGTAAGTCCTTAAGGTTAGGCAAGTAAATCGGAGGAATCACCTTCATAACTCGCGTATCCCATGTTCTAAACCATAATGTAGTCATAAACTCTATATTCCGTAGATTTAGCTCTTTTATGAATTCTTTTGTTTTTGATTCTTTTGAATCAAAGAAAATAATTAATAGTGCGGAATATGTGATCGAAGATTTTGAAAAACAAATTGATGATTGGGCAATACCTAAAATTCACAAAGATGAGATTTATAAAACTTCAAAATATAATCTTTTCAAAACCGATTTTACCATCAAAACCAAAGAGAGGGATATTCAGCTTTTAAAACCCTTTGAAATGATTCACCTCCTCTCTACAAAAACATAAAGACAAAAACTTCAAATACATTCATATAGGTTTAGTCCAAGTAGAGATTAAACCACTTACAAAAGAAGGATTGAACACCTCAATCTCGGCAGATTCTTATAGACAATAGGTTTATCAATTTTCATGATTCTCTCGCTTAGCTCTATAAAATCCAGTTTATGCAGTGGACCGATATCTTTTGACTCGTTACCCAAAATTCACAGCTTCCTTGAATGACAAAAACATTCCGAGTCCTTAGTACTCTAAATCAAAACCCACAATTATAATATGATGAAATGATCAATCACCGTTGCATTGATCACAAGAATCCATTATAAAGCCATGAACTCGCCTTTGCCTTAAAACACAAAAGACAATCAACCGAGGGAGAAACCCTTCTCTTACAAACGGATCTAATAAGATCCAATATTGTCATCCCTAGACCAATTAGGTGGAAATACATAGTCCTACTCGGCGAATGGATCTTAAAAGGTACAAGCGGATCCGAATCTCTACCGATTCCGGAGATTTCGAAATCAAATACCCAAATCGGATCTATAAGCACAAATGCTAAATGGAAGTGTTAGACTCTTATTTGACTAAAAATTTATTAGTAGTGGATTTTCCGATGCAGCCTCAAGTTCTCAAACTGTTGACTTAGGAAGAATTTTAGAAATTCCATCCGTCATAAATTTACCAAATACTAGGAAAGATACGAACCTGCACCAACGTCTACCATTCCCTAGTTTGCATCATAGATTTTCAACTTCGATGTTCCAAATCTTATTTTACAAAATATTGATTATTGTATAAACATCTCAAAACCCGGATATTCAAATCGGGATGAATCTCCACCTCTTTTCTCATCTGCATCTCGTCGTCATCGAAAACATTGCTAATGAATGTAATGTTTTGTCCGATGATATGTTTGTAGTAGATAAAAAATATCCGCATGATGATTTCTATGTAAAATATAATTCTGAAAAAAGAATTTGGTTCTTCAAAAACTTTATTGGCAAAAGGAAAGAAATTCAAAATGAATTTTATGAATTTATGAATATGCATAAAGTTCATATATTATTCTTTGATTGGTTTGAGATGTATGCTTGTAAACATGATATATCTTATCCATTCATTAAAACCCCGAACCCCGTGACTACTAGGAACAAAACTCCCTTTGGGAAGTAAAAGGAAAAACTATCCAGATCCGAACGGCCTCCTCCTAGGAAGCTTACCTTCTCTTACGGAAAAGCCAAAGTAGAAGCATATCCTTACAAAATTCCTAAAGATGATGACTTTGCCAACATCCAAAACATTGTTCAACGAATAATTTTTCAAATGCCAACCTTCAAACCATAGGAAAACAACTAGTTAGGATAGAAAACCATATCCAAAAGACAATTGTTTCTCCCTCATTATCCTTAGAAACAACTGAAGAAAAGAGACTTAAGAACTCGGTTTTTAAGTCGTTCCAGGTTTCTAGGACAAGTCGATAGCAAATCCAAACCAACAAATCGACTTTCTAAAAGACATTAGAGACTAGCTTAGCAAAATAGAAGTTTCCTCCGTAGGAACCTCTAAACAAGTAGCACCCGAGACACCTCAATCCCGTAGTGTCAATGTGTTAGACCAAAACCCGCAGACAAAATCGTCCCCGAAATTAATAAACTCCATTAGAAAAATCCTCTGTTTATGATCACCGCCCTGGACATAGGAGAAATGCCAAACAAGTTAGCTCAACCTAGGTTTAATGCATCTTCTATTTACGAGTAGAACATAGATGGACTCTCGGAGTATAACATCTCGAGCTTACTCCAAAGAATGACCATGGCAACTAACGCTTACAAAACCTAAACCGAAACCCCGCACCGTGCCATAATAGAACTTCTTATCGTCGGTTTTCGAGCCGCTTAAAAGGATGGTGGGATTACCATCTCACCGCATAACAACACCAAGAAATCCTAAATTCCATACAAATCGATCAGAAGGACTCCCTATCTTAGATGATTTAGGTGAAAAAATTCAAGATGCCGTGTTAACCCTCATCCCGACTATTTTCCTTCATTTCATAAGAGACCCTTCACACCTAAAAGATAAAAATGCTGAACTCATGAGTAATATTAGGTGTAAAAAACTTAGTGATTTCCAATATTACAAAACCACTTTCCTTACCGCAGTCATGCTTGAGAAGACTCTAATCAACCCTTCCGGAAAGAGAAATTCCTTATAGGTCTTCCAATCCTCCTAAGAGAAAAGATTAGAACTAGGATCAAGGATGCCTTTGGTGACCAGATTTCTTATGATTAATTAACCTATAGTGAACTTATTAGTCTCACCTAAAAGGAAGGACTAAAAATTTGTCAAGACCTAAAACTTAAAAAACACTTTAAGTGGAAGATGAAGAAAACCGGATAAGAATTAGGTAGTTTATGTAAACAATTCGATATTTTCATTTTAAAATCCTCGGGATGTAAAAATAACTGCGAGGCTAAAGCCCATAGAAAATCCTATAGAAACCCTTCTATAAAAAGCCTTTCCAACAAAAGCCCAAAAAATCCTTTAGAAAAACCCGAGCTTAGGCCAAAGCCCAAAACTCGACCAAATGGACTTTACCCGTTATAAATGCGTACGTAAAGACCACATTTCAAAATATTGTAGGATGAATACTAGATTACAAGAATTATAACTAGATGAAAAGATTTTCAACTAAATCTCTCGCCTTGTTGATTGAGTCATCCGAACCCTCA